GCACGCACGTTCATATTCACTTAAGCAAAGCATTCACGATGTTTCAATGTGTCACATTAATACAATTATCATGCGATTATCTCACGTCCGGAGTACTTTTCGCATTGCTTTGCTGTATGCGGAGTAATTTAAGCTTTGCTTACTACGCATATAGTTTTAGATGAATAATTGTAATACTTTATCATGTTTATTTATGTATTGCTTATTTTATAAATAGACCTATTTATGTAACATTTTTGAAAGCACACGCCACATGACGAGATATTTACATTAGTATATAGTCATTTAACGCATCCAGTTGAACTATATGCGGTGTCTTTGTGAGTGTGTATATATGGGTGGGGAGCGGTGGTGCAGTGGTTAGCGCGCTGCACTACGAATCTGGCCGCCAGAATCCGATTTCCGGTCACAGCCAACATCGGTGACGAATATTTGAACCGATCCTGGGCCTCCCCTAGGTCAACTCAGCCTTAAATGAGTACATGGTGCGGTGTGTAAACATCGCCACTCGGGAGACAAAGGCGGCCGGGCGTGGTGCAAGCCACCACGTGGGCCGTGACGGCCTGAATGGGGTGCTCGCTAACAGCACTTGCCCCTACAATCTTTTAAGGCAACACGGGGGATCTTTGCTTTTTTTCTCTGCACAAACAGATGAAATGGCGATGACGCCTATTACCCAGTAATAACGATCATTAATATCGGAAGTGAGCGAATACTTTATCCCACAGCAGCAGCCGCTTTTAAATGCATCTTGAGACTCCTCGTTGCTGTCCTGGGTACGCGATGTCGACGGTTTACCAGGCGGATAGCACTCTTATAATCAGTAACAATTATGCTCCATAACAAGATAATCCGTAACCTAGATTCCTGCAAGCATGAAGTCATATGTTAATTCGATATGATCATCCTATACTCATTCAGTTACTGGCAGTAAACACTCGCTAACAGCACTTGCCTCGATCGGCTCTGCTACCCGACATAGCCCGCCAAGGATATCGAGAGGCACGTGCTGATAGTGACCACTTCTGATGGCTGTCACAGCGCGCATTTAAACACCCGACGGCTACACGAATGTGTGTGTATGTGTGTGTATGTGTGTGTGTGTATGTGTGTGTATGTATGTGTGTGTATGTGTGTGTGCGGTGGTGTAGCGGTTAGCGCGCTGCGCTATGAACCCGGCGACCAGGGTTCAATTCCCACTCACGGCCAACACCAGTGATGATTATCTAACCGGTCCTGGACCTCCCCTAGGTCGACTCAGCCTCAAATAAGTACCTGGTGCGGTGTGTAAACATCGTCAAGTGGGAAGACAAAGGCGGTCGGGCGTGGTGCTGGCCAACCCACCCCCTCACGTACCGTTCTGGCCTTCATAGGTGCTCGCTAACAGCACTTGCCCCTACAGGCTGTTAAGGCTACACGGGGGATCTTTGTTGCGTGCATTTGCACGCAATCAGTGGCGTGGAATAGTTTAACCGCTTCTGTGTCTCCTCTAGGTCGACTGGGCCTTAAACAAGCACCTGCGATTGGGTGCGTAAACATCAGTGACAATTGTTTAACGCGAAGGCTTTCGTGACCAATATTATCCGTAATATAGTTTTCACCCAGCCAATACTAATATGCTAAGTGGCGGTGGCGGGTGGTGGCGAGTTTAACGACGCATTTATATTTACGCGATCTAACCCCGAAAATAACCTATTATGGATCATCAATTATAGATACAGGCGACTGGTCGTGATGCATGGGGGTTGTGTATGTAATACATTTACACATATATATGCCTTGGGGAAGCGGGGGCATTGTGGTTAGCGCACTGCTGCACTTCGAACTCTGAGGCCTGGCGTTAATAGGGGCACGATAACAGCGCTTTCCCCAACGAGGATATTTTATCTTTTTGTTACGTGTCGGAATGTGCAATCTTTCGTGTGTGTATATAGTGTGTGTGTATAGTGTGTGTGTGTATAGTGTGTGTGTATACATTGTGTGTGTGTGTATATATAGTTTGTGTGTATATAGTGTGTGTGTACAGTTATTTTGCTGTGCCTTTTACACCTGATGAAGGAAGCTTGTGTTGCCTCCGAAACGTCGTGATTTAATTGATTTCTTTTCATGAATTATTATTTTATTATTTTTACCTACGTGCCTTTACCGAAACAACCTAAGAGTGTGTGTGTGTGTTATATATCTTGGTGATGTTAGGGCTAGGGACAAAGCGTCATCACGTCGCGGTAATGACCCCGTTCGCCCAGACGCAGATCCATTCGGGCAGAGAGACGCGGCGTGGGCATCGCACAGGGGCCGCTTCGCACGTGGCCTCTAATCCGCGTCCTGTTGACTCACTGGGGAGCGGAGGAGGAGGCATCAACTACGAATGGCGAGAAAAGGGAGTCGTGTTCCTAACCGATCAATTGCACAATCGAACACGTGGGATCACAGCTACGATTGCAGCAATCTAAACATAAAATAAAGTAAATCTACGATTTGTACGTGTGACGTGCTTTGAAGCGAGGGTTCAATTTGCTTCGGGGTTTGCACCCAGAGAGAAAGCGCGCCCGAGAGAGCGGTTCCTAGCAGAGACGGAGCGGCCAAATGATATCGGATTGCTCTGTATCGCAGGATCGCGAGGGGTGGTGACGGGCTCGGGGAGGAGACTCTTCATCCAGCTGTGGAGTGGGCACGGCTGCTGCTGCTTAAAAATCGTGGAGTCAAACCACTCTGTTGTGCCACTGCGTTCACTGCGTTGTGCCGATGCGTCCAGGAAGTGGGCGATGCGCGTTGTTTACCACGTGCTGTTTACAACTGAGTGGAAACAGCAGCAGCAGAGACGTCAGATATTGACGTTGCTGCGAGTGCCGTGCACACAAGCCAAGCAGCCGTCATCAGGGGGCTCTCAGTCGAAGCGATGGCTCCGAAGGGAGGAATCCTAACACGTGTGAGCCTTAGCATCCCTGATGAAGATTGTGACACGCAAACAATGCGGCCTTCGTCACGCAAAGATGTCCCGTTCAGCCTTTGTCTCTCGGTCATTGTCACTCGGAGGGTTCTTAGAAGGAACCTCAGAACCCCTGTGGAAGTGACGAGGACGGGAGGGACCCCTGTTGACGACCGCTGCGCCCACAACCCGCGTAGCTGTGCAGCCTTCTTCACTGGTTGTTAGATGTTGGCAGTGGACGCCCTTGGCTTTGCGTTCGCTGCACTAAAGTACACAAACCCGCACGCACGTGTCTGCCGTGGGTCGATCTCGTGAGGAGCGGTGCACGAAACGGTTAGCGCGCTGCGCCCACGGCAACCGGCAACCCGAGTTCCATCGGTGTGTGAACACGTGCCGTCGGTGTGTGGACACGTGACATCGGGAAGATAACGGCAGCCACCCCCCGTGGCGTGTCAAGCCGGCCTCCATGGGTGCTCGCTAACAGCACTTGCCCCGTCAAACCCTCTGCAATTGGGGGACCTTTGTCTTTGTATATGCGTATGTTGGACATTACTCTGTACATACAGACATTAGCTCATACACGTTTGTATTGCAGTAGTATTGCTCTGTACATATACACGCAGTTGCATACAACCACCGACATTTACATAATTACATTATGATGAACAAATCTAAGCACATTTGCGCTTGCAAGCGAGTGTATGCAAACATTCATATCCGTTTGAAGGGGTGTACACGTGAAGGTGTGTTTATGTGTACATTGGGATGTGTGTGCGTGCGTGTGTATACAAACGGGTAGTTCGTTTGTATGTGGGCGTGGATGAATGTCTAGTTTATGTGGCTATAAGGGTGCGTGTGTTAATGCGGGTGTATGTATGTGTGTATGGAGACAAGGCATATGTGTGTATGGAGCGGTGTGTGCATGGGTTCTGCAGAGAAACTATGGCACACGGTGAGCACACCCCGGAGGTGGTGATGGGCGATGTCACTACGCAGGTGTCACGATGGCGCGCCCGTCGCCTGTGCCATCGCAGTCACATCACAGCATCACGCACGCAACGCCATCCACGCACTCATCCCATTCATTCAAGTATCATTTTAACCCAGTTAGCTGTGGTCACAATGGACGCAGTGTCAAGTGTCACAATCGAACTGCAAGCCTGGAGATCGCGTCCTCTAACGGGTTAAATCACACCGTTGGTGGTTAAACAATGCCACATTCCTATGGCGGGGACCAGTACATCCATTTTAAAAAAGAACTGTTATTGAATTCCAAAGTGGTGCATCGACTGTCATATTACCCACCACTAAATCACGATGGTTGTGGTGCTGATGCTGCTGCTGATGATGATGATGCGAACGTAAACAACGACCTGAATTGCAACTCATAACATCACCACGGCGGACTCCTGCTGCACTTTTACAAACCCAAGCTGAGACATTGCCCGACCTCAACATGCACACACACAAATCAGTACTCGACACATCCACTCTGCAATCCACCAATTCAACAACAACTTCATACATTCGTTTTACAATAGTACGCACAACATCACCACCTCCACCTTCCTCGCCACCATCACCACCCCCCGATCACCATCGCGGACAGCGTCACAATCACCACCATCACCACCACCGCCATCGTGAACACCATCACCACCATCACCACCGCCGCCATCGTGAACACCATCACCACCACCGCCATCGTGAACACCATCACCACCATCACCACCGCCGCCATCGTGAACACCATCACCACCACCGCCATCGTGAACACCATCACCACCACCGCCATCGTGAACACCACCACCACCACTGCCATCGTGAACACCATCACCACCATCACCACCACCGCCATCGTGAACACCACCACTACCGCCATCGTGAACACCACCACCACCGCCATCGTGAACACCACCACCACCACCACTGCCATCGTGAACACTACCACCACCGCCGCAACCAACAATCACCAGCACCACCACCACCAGCACCACCAGCACCATCACCACCACCGCAACCAACAATCACCAGCACCAACAGCACCACCTCCGCACCATCGTGCACTCACCTTGAACGCCACGGGCAGAGTTTTATTGCATCGCCAGTGCGAGGGCAGCACGGAGCACAGGAAGTTGGGGCTGTCCGTGCGCACCAGCTCCCCGGGGTGGTCGGCCAGCACGTCCGCCGTGGCGCGCTTCGAGTGCAGCAGCGAGCCGGCGGCCCCCGCTCCGGCGGCCGCGTCTTGGCAGTTGGCGGCCGGCACCCCCATGGCCCCGGCAGGCCCCGTGCCCAGCTGCTGCTGCTGCTGCAGGTGGTGGTGGTGGTGGTGGTGCAGCAACGCCGCGTCGCTGGAGCCGCCGAGTCCTTCGGCCGCCAGTTTGGCCGCGGCGGGTGGAGCCGCGAAGCGCCGCCCGGCACCGCCGCCCGTCTCTAAGAGAGTGCGCATCGTCTCAGTCGTCTGCGCGTCCGCCTCGCGTGTCCGTGCCGCGCTGCGCCGAGCGGTGTGGGGCGAGAGATGTCTGGATGGTTCCCCGTACGCCCGCAGGGCTGTCTGTCTGCCTGGACTGCTGAGAGGCAGGCGCTCTCGATGTGTGGCTGTCTGGATATCTCTCTGTCTGGCTGACTTCCTGTCTAGATATTGGCGTGTCTGGATGGCTGCCTGTCTGGATATCTCCCTGCCTGTCCTGCCCGCCTCATGCACAGCACGTGTCTCTGTTACTTGTGAGAGGCGTACACCTGCTCCAGTCTGGTCTGTGGTAGACTCAGATGCGCTCAAGTCGCAGTCTGTGCGTGCAGAGCGCGCGTACGAGCACAGCTGCTGCCCTTCCTGATTGAAAAGCCAAAACACTTGCACCGTGCACGGAACCCGGCACCCACGCCTCAGCCACCACAGACGTGAGAGCAGCCAAACAGTGGGGTGAGAAATGTCAGGCCGAGCTAAGAGGCACTTCCCGTAAAGCGGTTTAAAATAATAGCAAGTAGCTGCTGTGAATTAGTAATACTATCTGTCCATGGGTGATGTGGGCACTCGAGATTGACAGGTCGCTTTAAACGCTGCTACCGCTGGTGCCGTCTTGTATGCAAGACTAACGCCGTCAAATACATCTACGAAGACAGTATATGTATAGACTGTCGTGATGCTGCGGTGTACAGGCGTGTGAACGATTAGACGTTCCGGCTGAAGCCCAATTCAAAGTTCACTCTGGCGTCATGAAGGAATGAGAACGAGTGAATTAATGAGTGTGATGATGCACGGTGGTGACGGCGAAAGCTTTGACGCATGCGACTTGGATGAAATAGAAATGTTCAAAGTAAACAAACTTAGAGCAAATACGAGTGGTGGCAGCCGCAGCAGCAGCCGCAGCAGCCGCAGCAGCAGCAGCAGTAATAGTCCACGTGTTTATCAGCTGGCTGTGCCGCAACTGTTGACAAGTTGAGCCGCTGGCTTCTTCACGCCGTTACCGACAAGCGCAGTGTTCAGGACAACTCTTCCAATAGCAACAAAATATCCTCCTCGCTACGCGGTGCGCGCTCTTCGTAACGCACAAAAAAACTCTGCGCAAGCACCAAGAAGAAGAACAAGAACAACAAGTAGGATAACTCAATTGTCGCCCGACGTGTAACATTAATAACGATCTCGCTTCCTCGCTGTCAGACCGAGAGTGTCCCTCCTCGACACCAGAACCACCACATTCGGGGTTGCGGTTCGCCCTGTCGCTGTGGTTTGCGGGGGGGGGGGGGTCGTGAGGGCGCACGCGGTTGCGGGGGGGGGGGTTCGAGGAGGGGGGGTGACTGATCACTGCGCTGATGCCCGAGAGCGGTGGTGTGGACGCGACTTGGACGCTGCCCGGGAGATTCTATTCGAGCCGCACTTCTCGGCTACCGGCGAGTCTGGCCGAGCCGGCAGCGCGTGGAGGATGTATTGGGGAGGGAGGGGAGGGAGGGAGGGAGGGGGAGGGACGGGTGGATGCGTGACTGGCTGTGTAAGGAGGCGTTTTGGAGAGAGGGAGGGAGGGGACGGCGCAGTACGAGTTGGGGACTTCTCAGCCGCGCCTCGCCTGCACCCCCCCACCCGCTCGCCCGTGCGTTCTCCAACCCACTCGCCCCCACCCATCCGTCTCCTCCCCTTCCTGACCGCCCCCCCCACTCCACCCCCATCCTTGTGCACAGCGATAGCGAGACGAGGCTGATGACACAACTCGGCATCGACTCAGGGCGCGCGTGGCGAGTGAGTCAGCTGGGACTGGCGCAGTTGGGGGGGGGTCTCACCGCTCGCTGGCCACTCGTGCCCAGGCATCGTCACCACCGCCAGGCGCTCAGGAGCAAAGCATCACCCCCATCGCCTCCCCTCCCCCTCCCTCTCGCCCGGCATGCAGTCTCACAAGTTCGGGAGCACCGTTTACATTGAGAACGACGCCGCTGATGTTCACACACGTACTCACACACACGCGCGCACACGCGCGCACACGCACACACGCGCACACACACACTCACGCACACACTCACACGCACTCACACACGCGCACGCACACACACACGCACGCACACACACGCACACACATACACACACACTCACACGCACACTCACGCAGCGCAATGCGCTCACCACTGCGCCACCGCTCCCCACAGTCACCACGCTCCCACACAAAACAAGGTCCCCCGTATAGCCTGAACAGACTGTTGGGGCAAAGTGCCGCTAGCGAGCACTTATGAAGGCCGGCACTGCACACGAGGGGTGGGTGGCCAAAACCACGCCCGGTCGCCTTTGTCTCCACAGTGGCGATGTTTACAAACCGCACCAGGTACTCATTTGAGGCTGAGTCGACCTAGGCGAGGCCCTGGACCGGTTCAGATAATCGTCACCGGTGTTGGCCGTGAGCGGGAATCGAACTCGGGATCGCCGGCTTCGTAGCGCAGCGTGGCGCTAACAGCTGCCCCATCGCTCCCCGCAGTGTGAACGTCATCGTCGTCATCCGTGGCTAATCCACTGCTGGATGAACACGTCGTCAAGTCGCCGTCGACGCCACGATGCCTTGGCCTCGTGCGATGCCACAACAACAACAAGAACAAGAAGAAGAAGAAGCCCACCGAGAGTGGCTGCACACGAGCTGACCCCCACGAGGTTCGCATCTCGTGACGGGCTCCATCTCTCTGCTGACACGTCCGTCACACTCGCCTCGACGTGACGATGTCCCGTGCTCTCGAGCCGACGGAATTGCCACGCTGCTTAGAGGGGGGGGCAGGGGGGGTGCCTTGCCCCCTCCCCAATGGCCAAAGCTACGAGTCGGGGCCCCCTTGAAAACCACCGTGTGATCTGTTTTCAACAACGGTGTCAAACAACAACAACAGCTGCGCTCATTTTGCGAAGACGGAGCGCCCCATACAGCGCTGAATGTCCGAGACGGTGAATGTCCGAGACGGTGAGCGCAGCGACGTGGTGAGGCTAGAAGAGCCGCGGTGTAGAACATCCTGGTGCGAGCGTGCGAGACGAATCAAACATTGGGGCCCCACCTGAGCGATTTCCGCTACCCCTGAGCTGATAACGTCGTTACCTCGCCACGTCGTTACCCACGCCACGTCGTTACCACGCCACGCCGTTACCCACGTCGTTACCCACGACACGTCGTTACCACGCCACGCCGTTACCCACGTCGTTACCCACGACACGTCGTTACCACGCCACGCCGTTACCCACGTCGTTACCCACGCCACGTCGTTACCCACGCCACGCCGTTACCCACGTCGTTACCCACGCCACGTCGTTACCCACGCCACGCCGTTACCCACGTCGTTACCCACGCCACTGCACCGAGCAAGGAGCTTTGGGCCTCTCAAATCGCGGAGTCGTCAGTACTTCGCAGGGGGGTCACGTGGTTTTCAATAAATACCAGCAGCGCTTGATTCTCGGAAAACTAAAAAATAAATATATGAGTGAGTGAGTGAGAGAGAGAAATTCATAACAGTCTGGCATCCACCGCCCTCGTAAACCGCCTTGCGTTCGACTCGGGGTTCATAGCAGTAGCCGTCGTCACGCAAGCGCGGCCCTGCAATGGCTTGCCCACGCCACTGCTAGCGGAAGGGCATTGCCACCACTCGCGGGCAGCTCGAGGGAGCCCCGCTGCTGAAGGGATGTTGGCCCGCGCTTTCAGACGTCTCGGAGGAAGTGGCAGTACCCACACTTTACCCCACCGCATGCGCCCTGCCGACCGAATAACTCGCGCATCACACATCTGCATTGTCGGCTTCCCACGTGCACCCGCAACATTCTGATGGGCGAATGCTTGCACGTTCTCCGTGGCGGACATCGGGGTTGTTTCACCATACTTCACCAGCCTGGCCAGCGAGGTGAGGCAGGGTCAAGGGAGATCGTTGTGCAGGACCCGGTAGAGATATGACTCGCCGCTGATGTTAGCCGTGGCGGGTCACTCAGTTGAACCGGGTTTGTAGCGCTAACCACTGCGCCACCACTCAATCGCCGACTATAAACAAGCTGGGCTCGATTGCGTAACGAACGTGCGGCTTCACAAACAACACTCTCGCAGGCTGCAGTACGAGCCCGCAAGCGTGGAGCGGTGGCGCGGCGGTTAGCGCACCGCGCTCTGAAACCGCTGACCCAAATTGGCAACCGCAGCTCCCGTCGGCGACGAGGGACGTCTGAATGAGTCCAGGGGATCCCCTCCCTCAAACCGCCACCACACATTGACCAAGCCCCCCCCCCCGCACTAACCAGCGCCGCGTCGGGAAGGTCTCTTAACATCCAGCAGTGGATGGACATGGCCGAGCGTGTATTACTAACCACGGCCATGGCGGTGACGGTAATGGGAAACCCGAGTTGGGGGTGAGCGTGCAGGCGGATTTAAAGTCCGTGGCTGCTCGCTGTGATGCACTGCGCGTTCACGCGGCTCTCTCTCCATTCCTGAGTGGAGAATCAGCAGCGGGGTCGGCTCAGTGACGCGGACAACACCGCCAGTGTCTCCCTGTCTGGAGTTGGCGTTGTAATCGCACAGACCGCAGTCCTCCGATTGTAGCTCCAGGTGGTTTTAAATGGGGAGCGGTGGTGGAGCGGTTAGCGCTACGCTGCGCTACGAACCCAGAGACTCGAGTTCGATTCCCGCTCACGGCCAACACCCAGTGACGATGATCTGAACCGGTGCTGGGCCTCCCCTAGGTCGACTCAGTCTCAAATGAGCACCTGGTGCGGTGTGTAAAGACATCATCACTGGAGAGACAAAGGCGGTCGGGCGTTGTGTTGGCCACCCACCCCCTCGTGTGCCACAGTGCCGGCCTTCATCTGAGCTCGCTAACAGCCCTTGCCCCAACAGTCGTTTAGGTCTACACGGGGGACCTTTGTCTATGTTTGTGTAGCTGATTTGACACCACGCACATGTAATGCGGAGAAGGCGGTCGGTGACTACAGAGGATTGTGGTAA